ACCACCCAGCCAGTCCCTAGGCGCCTTTAGGGCTCTGGTGCTCTGCATTCACATCTTTCCTGCCCTTCTTCATGCTCATATGTCAACTCCTTCCCAGGTAGCTGCAAGCCCGTGGGCAGATGGGACTGTAAAACTGCTGCAAACAAGCTCAGGAGAGCAATGATGAGCTGGGCTGCTCCTAGGGCAGCCCCCAGCCTCCCTGCAGCACCTGTGCCTGGGGTGCTGGCACCCTGGAAATCCCAGGAGGTGCTGATGGGGCAGAGATGAGCCGGCAGCACCTTCCCCTCCCCGTTGCCCAGTCGTCCAGCTGGTTTTGCGAGGGAAGGAGGCTCAGCCCCAGTTTCTGGCCCATTATCTCCCCTTCCAGCAATCACCTCCTCCAGCTGATGGAGCACGGGGAGGGATGCCCGGCCGCACGCAACGTGAACACAGCCACACGTGCTGCAACGGGAGCAGGGGGAGGTCAGGAGCAGGTTACCGAAACGCAGCCGTGCTCCTGGCACGGAGAAGAGCACGAGCTCTTCTTGGCTGCAGCACCAAAAGGTTTCCAGCCATCCTCAACGCCTGGGGAACGGCGCTTTGCTGCCACCCCAACTCCTCTCCATCCTGCTCCCAAAGTGACCAGGCCACCCAAACGAGCTCGTCTCACACCTCCTGTCAACCCCCTTGATGGTTGGAAGTGCTGGGGGTGGTGACGGCCCCTAAAGCATCCCTGCCTCCCCAGCCCCTGCCCGCTCCAGCGTAGCCCAGGCTTGTCCTCATTTCAGGCTGGGCGAGCGGCAGCCCGGCCCCAGAGGTAGAGAGATGATGCCAAACCTCCTAATGGAGCTTGACAGCAGTGGGATTAAAAGCACAAGTGAGATCGCAACCCCTCTGCAATCAGCTTCTGCCTTGGAAGAGCTGAACCAGAAAAGAAACCTCCCAGGCAGCGGGGAGGGGTGGGAGCCCACACGCAGGGCGAGGACGGCAGGAGATGGAGAAGAACCTCACCCGTCCCAAGCCCTCCTCGCTTCTACTGCCAACCCATCTCAACAGGAAGGAGCCAATCTCCTCCCCTGCAATCTCCTCCCACCAGTAGAGGGTTTCACCAGCAACAGCCCCAATTCCGACTGGTCCCCAATGGGTTTATACTTGTACTGCCCTAAACTTTGGCTGCAGAGCAGCCCACACCACGTGCTGCTCATCCCTTCCTCTCCCCGCCTGTGAGCTCAAGGCATCACACAAAGACCTTCCTTCTCCCTCTCCTTCAGGAGCGATGCCATTGATGCTGGAAACAGCACCCAAGCAGCCGAGTCCGAGCTGGAGATGGGAGGACTCACTCAGAAGCAAGCGGGTGCTCAGCAGGACACTCACAGCCCCTATTTCTGCAGGATGGGGCATGCACAGACCTTCACAGCTGGCACCAAGCCCCATCTGTCCCACAGCACAGCCCTTGCTTAACTTAAAAGGCAGTGCTGACCACATTTCCCACCTGAAGGATGCTCCAGCGGCGCTGCTGCCCCAGACCTCCTTCATCCTCCTTCCCGCAAGCAGGAATATCTCAGTATCTCCCCCAAACCCAACTCAAATGGGGGGATGAAGCCGGGTTGAGCTTGCACGAACCACCACGGGGATGGCTGCTAAGTCACCCTCCAAAAAGCCAGCAAGGTACAAGCACCATCCCAGTCTGTTTTCATCCAAAACCCAGCAGGTAGAGACTGCTCTCCCGCCTGGCAGTTGTTTGCTCCCAGCAAAATGCAGAGTAAAGAGGGGTTTTTTAACTGCAAGGAAAAAAAAAAGAGTCACTCCAGAGACCGGTGTATGGGCTTGGGAACAGTGGGAAGAGCTGATGGGTTTTGGCACGGTGCTTGGGCTGAAAAGCTAGCTCCAGCTCCAGACCTTGTTTTTGCAGTGACCTGTACCCAGAATTGGCTTTTTCCTTTTTCTTGCCAAATGGAAAGAAAAAGAAATTCTTCCAGGTCAGGGGAAAGAAAAGCATTTACTCGTGGGTCAAGTGAAGCAATCTGATGGAGGGCTGAGTGCACTTTTATCCTCCCTAAAACAGGAAAAGATTCCATTTCCATCTGAAAAAACACCTAAAAATAAAAAGAGAAAGGTTCCTGGGGTCAGAAGCGTTCAATTTTGGTTTTCAAGCCCAAATGACTTGCTGAATTGAACCCCACTTTGCAAAGCACGGGTCGACCCAAAAGGGCAGAGGGGGTGGGGAGGGGATGGGCTGATGCATCGATCTGGAAAATTTCAACCACCGCTGAGACAGCACCAACCACAGGGGCCAGCCCAGGACCCACCGTGTCCCCGACACGCAGCCCGGGTCCCCCAACCCCAGCTGCACACCGTTTGGCTGCCTCCACAGCACTTTGTTCATCCAAAGCGAGCTGTCATTTTCCAGCCTCTTCCCCACCAGCCAAATCCTTCCTGACAGCCCGTTTAAAACTCAAAGCACCCGATTACCGACACGGCCAGGCAGCTGCTCACAGGCACCACAAGAAACTCTTCTGTAACAGTTGTCCCCAAAACCACCCTTCAAGAAAACAAGAAAAAAAAATATCTCTTCCCAGAGCATCACTCCTCCCCCTTCCCATACCCACCCACACCTGGGGGCTGCCAGGGGGGCACTGGGGTCCTCCTTGATCTGGTCCAGGTCTCGTGTGCGTGGCCCCAGCGGAGGGGACCCCCCAAGTTTCCCCATCAGCACCCGCTTCCCCCCACCCCAGCGGGGAGGAGAGCTGCCTCCCCCAGCTCCATCCACCTGGCAGGGCTGACCCCAGACCCCACATGTCGCCCCAGTCCATTAGGCAAGTCCCTGGAGCTCACACACCTCGCCGGTGTTTGGCTTAACCCCAGCTTTTAGGCAGAACTGCGCCGCCTTTCCATTTTTAATTTGCTCTAAACATTCTGGTCCTCCCCCCTGGGGACACCCAGTCCATAACCTCTGCCAGCAGCACGGCTGCCCCATAGCTACAGGGAAGGTGGCAACTGGGGACAAAGGAGAAGAAAGCAGCTCCACCCCAAGCTGCTCTCATTTGGAGGAACGGGACCTCTTTACACACACACCCCAGGACGAGGGGGAGCCCTCCAGTGAAAGGGCCCCCAGCGCCCCATGAAGATGCTCCTCTACAGAGTTGCTCCTCAAAGAGGGTCCCCTGCCCCTCCAGGGACCTCACACCTGCAGAGACAGGGTTGTCACAGGGTGGAACACCTTCCTCCTTTTCATCAGACACCTCTGTGGGGTTGGGTCCCCCCCAAACTTCACAGATTTACCCTGGTGCTGCACCGTGTGACCTCAGCACAGCTGCCTCTCCTTCCCCACCACCCGGCTCCAGCGCAGCGATGCCCTGGAGCAGGGACACGAACACGGCATCACTCTCCAGTCCCAGAGGTGTCTTTCTCATTTTCCACTGCCTTAGGCAACAAATGTACAAACAAGGACCTGCCAGGCATGAGAAACGTGACCTGAGCTGCTCTGGGAAGGGAGATGCCACCGCACGGCTGGGAAGATCAGCCTGGGACACCCTGGAGCAGCTCCTGGTGGGTTTTCTGTACCCCAAGTGTAGGGGGGGGAGGGTGTCCTGGCTCAGGGTTAAGGGTCAGTCCATCACACACCTTTTATCTTGAGTGAAAGGGTATGGAAAACTAACTGAGCACTTGCAGACACATGAATGGCAAAAAACTCATAGGAAAATAAATATCCCAACCAGTTAAGCATCAGAAAAGGTATGTGGGATGGCAGCAAATCCGTGTGCCCTGCCTCCAGCAGGTACCCAGGGAGAGCGTGGAAGAAGGGCGATGAGCAGTGGTAATAGCCCAGAGTGTGCTCCCTCCCTCCAAAAATTGGCAGATTAGGGAACTCCCAAGCCCCAGGGGATGCCTCGATGCTCCTTTCTGCTTGCTGGTTCCCTCCCACAGAACTTGTCTGCTCCCTTTCTGCACATAACTTCCACATCACTTCCCCCATAACTTCTCCCCATCCCCAATTTCCTGGGACAGCCTCACAAAGCGGCGGTGGGACACAAAGCCCCCCATCACACCTCCAGGCAGCTGCCAGACCCAGCGCGCCCCAGGCAGGGAGCAGGGACAGAGGCAGAGGATTCTGCCCTCCCAGCAGGGTCCTCTTCAGCTCCTCACCTACCTTGTCCTCCCAGACCCCCCAAAGAGTTTCAGGCTGAAGGGAGCTGAGCTGCAGACAGCTGGCCTTGGCTGCCATCTAGCAGTGAGCCACCAGCAGCAGGGACAGGGTGACAGCTCCTCCAGCCCACTGCAGCCTGGGGAGGATGCGAGGGGGCTCCTGGGCACACACTCCATCCCAGACCCAATTCTCACCTCCCTGAAACCAAAGGGGACTTCTGCAGCAGGAAGGGTGCTGCTGGAGACACGCACTCCATCACCCACGCAGCTCCAAGCGAGCTCAGCTCCATTTCATCTCCTCCCTATGCTAGGTGAGGGACACGTGCCATGCAACCCCTCAGCCCGAAGCTCCCCGCAGGGTTGTACAGCCCTTGATCAAGCCATAGCTCCTCACTTCTCTGCTTCCATCTCCTTCATTAGCTTTCCATCCGGTCATTTCCGAATGAGCCCCAGATCTTCTCTGCTTCCATCTCCTTCATTAGCTTTCCACCCGGTCATTTCCTAATGAGCCCCAGATTTTCTCTCTCTACATTTTTTTTCAGCCCTTTCACATCCAAACCAACCCCTAAATGCTGAAATTAAAACCCTGCCAAAGCAGGACCACCCAGAGCTTGTGGTCTCTCTCTCTACATTTTTTCAGTCCTTTCACATCCAAACCCACCCCCAAATGCTGAAATTAAAACAGTCACAGAATCACAGAATGGTTTGCATTGGAAGAAAGCTTTAAAGACCATCTAGCACAATCAATAAACTTCTTATGCTGGGCTTTTATCCATTCCAATATTAATCTTAAATCCTATCACGAGCTCTTCTGGGTGGTTTGCAGCAAAGCCTACCTCTGGCATGTCTGCAGGTGGGCACAGAGTGGCCCTTGAAGGCCCTGAAGATGTGAGGAACAGTCCAGGCACCAGCAAACCAGCTGAATGGCAGCATTCACAACCAGGGCACTTCTATTTTCACAGCTTTTCTCTGCATTAATAAACTCAAGCCCGAGAGGATTTCTTGCCATGGGCAAGGAACTACATAAACACGGCCAACATCAAGCTTTCTCTCACTGGATTGTTTGTAGATGTCATTCCTTATCTGTCCCATGGGATTCCTGATGCTTCATACTTACGGCATCCTAATTCATCAACAAATTAGAGCGCCTTTTTCTTGGGGAAGGAGGTTTCTTTTTTGCAAGTTACGAGCATTTACACAGACTGAGGCCTGAGCTGGGATACAATGATCTCTCCTAACAGAAAGCAATGATCTCTCCTAACAGAAAGGCATGTGTAGAACATCCACGGTGTCAAAAAACAAAAACACCTCCCCAAACAATGTCAAAACTGCTTGTGCACTGAAAGAGGGAGGCATAGGCAGCCAGTTTCCCTCTACTAAACTTTAAGGATATATAACACAATGTGACACGTAGCTGTTCTCCTGAACCATTAAAGAACAATAAATTAGTGTAGCACCAGTATAACAAACCCAAACTATTTTCCTGAAGATACAAGTAACATCTATCACACGTACTGGGCACATCTGAGATGTCAGATTCAAGTTTTTCAAGGCATTAAACACTTCTGAACAACAACAAAAAAATACAATTAAAAAAAAAATATGACACCACAGTCCTACAGAGAGCCTTTGCTGCTCTGGGCAGCCTTCCTCAGCAGCTCGTCCAGCTCCAGCTTGTCCCCTCTTCTCACACCTTCTGTCTCAGGCCTGGAGGCCACTGGAAGTAGTCAGTGGAAGTGGCTAAGCGTGCAGCTGCCAACACCGCAGACAGCGTGGTAGGAGGGACATACAGTTTCTGAGAGGACCTTTGGTCAGAAAGCCCATCGGGACCACACAGGTCAACTGCAAGATCCTCGGGAAGGTCTGTGTTCTTCATTTCCTCTTCATCTGCATAAGGAGGGAGATAGAAAAGAAAGATGGGATCTACACTGGCAACTCCTAAAGAGCTCCAGTTTAGATTTAAATTCCTTTTGCTTGAATCTTACCAGGTCACGGCAAAAGGACTTTCTACCACACACCTATTTGATGAGCCTGACACAATATAATCCAAGAGGCTCTCTCCCTCTCCCCCCAGTGCTCACCCCTGTCTCCCCAGAGGTGGGAAATCAGATATAAGTTGAGTAGCTTCTGTCTGGAGAACTGGGCCTCCGCTCCAGACAGACGTCAGACAGCTCTGTTCCAAGGCACAAACAGGCACTGCCTTTGGCAAGTTCAATCTACCTCATAAATTGAGCAACTCTCACATGGGTGTTGTGGATTCTTTCATCATTTGGGAGATGGAAGGTGAACACCCACCCAGGGACCTTACAAAGTTAAAAAAAATATGTTTTTGACCCTTATCGTTGAGAGATTGAGAGACTCTTAAGTATGAAATGAACACAGGCTAACGTATGGAGAGGAGAAACAAAGACTTCTGCATGAAAGCAGCAGAAAGCCTAGAAAAGACAACAAAAATCAACAGAGAAATAACTCTCAATTCATTTGTTCCCATTAAACGTTTAGAAAAATCATTTTGCTGCACAAAGGTCAAACCGATGCAGTGCATCCAGCCATTTAATAGCGTCACATCTCCATCCCACAGAAATACCAACATTTTCATCTGCTCTAGCAAAGAAGCTGCACCAGTCCTAGGATACCCAACAGCGAGTGCAAGACTCGTAGCACAGCAACAGACTGCTCAGCTCTCTGCTGTGTTAAATTTTACTGACAAATCTATTCGTACTGTTACGGTTGTCCAGCACAAACGGCATTGCCATAAGGAGAACAGAGGGATGTACAGCTTCACGGTGGTGGGCCTTGTTGGAAAATCTTTCTATCTGATCAGGGTCATCTTGGCTCATTTCTGCTGGTTGCTTGGAGTAGGTAAAGGAGGTGTAAAAGTCTTCCACTGACTTGAATAAGGCAGCAGGCATTGAGGACTCTCCAAGAGAATGAGGTGTCTGCAAATGTATATAAAAAACTCAGGAGAGGGCGTGATTAGTGCACACTTGGTTCATTAGCTGCCCTAATCTAATATCCCTCGAAGTCCAGAAGGAACTGGAATGTCAGCAACTGGGTGATTAAAAAAAAAACCAAAACAAAAACCCACCAAAAAGATTAGTTACTCACAACCTTGGCCAAAGGGCAGCCCCTCCTGCACAGCAAGCTGAAAAGAATGACAGATTATTACAAGATACAAATTACCATGTCTTAGCAAAGAATCGACAGCTGGCTCATCTCTCAGCAGCCCCACGCAGAACAAGCGGTGGCCATGACAAAGGGAGTTTCTGCAAGGGAGTTGGAATTGAGTCAGAGGAAGTCCCTCTGCATTTTTGCTTAAGAATACAAATTAAACTTAACTTCCAGAGGTGATCACCTGTGTCTCAGCCATAGACAGGGACTAGAGCCAATGTTTGTATTTGTTAATCCAGCACGGAGGAGAAAAATAGTGGAATGACAGACAAGCAGCAATTCACCTTTCCCAACCATAGCTGTCCAAGAATTAGATGTTTGCTCTCTAGGCTTCTTCTGTTGTCAAGGCAGCAGAAGAAAAGTATCCATCTTCAGAAGGGGTGAATCACCATCCAGGGGTGCTTCACCCTTAGGCGAGAGTGTGTTCACAGCATTGGGCCAGAACAAAACAATTGCTTTTACACAAGCAGATTTAAACAGTTCAAATTAGCCCCGACAAAGGAACCGTGAGGTGCTCCTGAAGCAGCACAGAGTGCTACCTGCCTGGGCAACAGAAATTCTGTGCTGACAGGATGCCAAGGTAGAATAATTTGACTGGCAGGCATCACTGGAGTCCAATCCACCAAACCACTCAGCTTGAAACCACCAGCCCACTGAAAACCCCTGCCTAACATGGAGTAAAAACCACAGTGGGAGGACAAAATAAACCCTCAAAAAAACAACAGGATTAAAGGGTTATCATCATCTCCTCTTGCCATCTAGGCTATCCTTGTTGTGGGACAAGCAGTGTCGCTGCCACTCTATGGCAAAGCAGAAACAAACAGGTTGCAAAGGTAGACACTAAAAATGTCTGCTAGCACTGGAAAAAGCTGGGATGGAAATAATTTTAAAAAAAGGGCTGTTCAGTTTACAGAAGAGGTAAATGAGACAGAGTACCCAAGAGAGTGCTGTGAGGGGCAGGAATTAAGGCAGCAGCTACTCTTCCTCCTGATTCACACAATTAAGACCACCAGCCCTGAAATGGAAAACAAGAGCAGTGAAAACTGGAAGAGATGGAATACAGCTTGGTGATGCCCTAAGTGCCACAAAACCCTGAGGCCAAGAGATAAACAGGAATCAGGGAAAGGAAACCTTCCTGTCTGTCCTTGTAACTAGCTGACTGATGTATTTTCTCTCCCCTAATGTCTATAGGCAGGACTATTTTTTCATCCCACGATCTTTCTTAACAGAAATTCTTGTCATCTCTTCTAAAGAGTATAAAAGACTTCACAGCCAGGACAGAAAACGTGCCCAAGATTTCTCTGATCCAGTTAGATAATTCCTATGCTTTGAAACTCACATAGTTTAATACTTGCAGGGGACCATTTAAGTCAGCTCAGATGTCTGAGGAGCTGTGGTTGTCCAAAAACTTGCAGGCACACTCCCATTTCCAGCTCTGCAGTGCATTCTGTGGCTCAACAAATCCTGAGTGATACTGGCTCCCCACTGAACCCAGAGTGGAGTGTTTGCAAAAAGCCATGCTGCAGGCCCTGTTAGACCCATCATTAATCACTACAGGAAGTGAACTTGCAGCACCAGTGCCACTCAATGCCTCAAATCACAGCCCAAAACCCAACCCTCCCAAGCCCACCTTCCTAACTCAGGAAGAGGACCGAGTGACCCAATAACTTCCCAATAATTCCCTGCATGCCAATAACTGCTCCACAATAACTTCCAGTTACTCCCAGTAACCCTCAGAACTGTGAATGGAGGCAAAGTAGAGGAGTGAAGAAGGGCCAAGTTTGATCTATAAAGTGTTGAAATGGTCGGTCTTATTTCCACAATAGCTCAACATGCCAGTGGAGCACGACTGTATCATCAATAACACCAGAAACAAGAGCAAAGGGGAAAATGTATGGCTCTGAGCCCATGCTAATAGCCAGTCATTTCTTTGTCAGTCACTTTTGAAAAAATACATATCAAAGCAATGAAAGGGTTACTTAAAGCATCTAAACCCAAGAACAACACCTCTCAATAGCAACAGCTGAGAAAAACACCCTTACCTTAACCACTGCCCTAAGCTCCCCAAGAGTTTCATTTGTATCCTCCTGTGCAAGCTCAGGGTCTTGGTCTGCTGTTCTTGGTACACTGACTTCATCCCAAAGTGTCTGCACATCATCCTGTGCCTCTTCCTTAGCAGAGAGGTGCCACTGCTAAGGAGATGGACAAAGAGAGAAAAGGCACAGCTAGTGTGGGTAGAAGGAAGCAGGGTGGACTGGAGCAAATTAGAGAGCAATCTGATGATAACACTCAGAGATTAACTGAGATAGAAATGCAAAGGAGCTTTTCTATTCTGCTCAGAAGTTTTAACATTTCTATCTGGAGAAGCCTGGGCTACTTGGAAAGGACAGAAAGAACATGGAAGGATGGAAAATAATGTGAACAAGAAACTGACTGTCACTTTAACTTCTCTACTCCACAGTAAAACTTACCACTTGAAAGTACAGTTTTATTCAAGCAGTGTTTTCTGGTTATTATTTGCTGCCTTCTGGGAAATTTTATCATGGAGAAGTGTTCTAATGTAGCAGAGCTGATACCACAAACACAGTGTCCAGCCATTTTGCACTTAAGGGCCAGCAAAGTCAGGAGGTGTTGTTAATCCTGACGAGGCAAATCTAAGATTGGGCAGTGAAAAGGGAGTTCTCCACTGCTTAAGAGGAGTTACCAGAAAATGCCAGCTGAGCAGTAACAAGTGTCATATTAGACATGTTTCATTCTAGTTCAAAACATTTTGAGTAATTTTATAATTGACATTGACGATCATGTTAGTGATGCACAAAAGAAGTGTCATGGCTTAGCCACAATTATTTTGGGCAACTGAAAAAAACAACAGAGAAGAAAATGTTTAAAGTCTTACATAAAGAGAGATCCAGAGGATTGCACTTTCTGGAAAAGGATTCTAAGACCCTTCACATCAGACACTTGCTTCAAGCTAAAGACCTTCCCATTTTATGCATCCAATCAAGCCTTTCCCTGCCCTTCCCCTTAGCAGTACGTGCCTCCCTCCTGACCTGGGAAGGAATGTTCTCTCCACAGACGTCAGCACATCCCTCATCCCTCAAGACACAGTGGAAGTAGACATCCTCCTTGGTGGATGTGTCACACAGGAAGAGATGCAAAATGCCATTCACATACTCATCCACGATGCCCACAAGTAGCTTGGAGTCACACAGCTGCTTGAATAGGAGAGTTGCTGCATTGGACCACACACCCTAAAGAAGAAACAAGGATGTAAAGTTACTGTAAACAGATCAACATCCACTGCCTGAGACTTTCCCTTGTGGGCACTTGCTAAAAAAGCAATTAAGCTGGGTCAGGGTAGGGACAAATACAGGCAAGCCAGGCAGACAAGCTTTTCAGCACTGAACTAAATCAAACTACCCCAAAGCCTGCAATGCCAGTTACACTGGGACTGCCCTTTCACCCTAAATACCTATTTCCAAACACAGGTCAATGGCATTCACCAGTGATTTTATCGCAATTGCCTAAAATACAGTTATTTATTGTTGGTTTTGTTTTCTATCTTTTTTTTTTTTTTCATTCCTGGAATCATGCTATTATAAATGTTGAAAGTGTCAAAAGTTTTTAAGAAGCGTCTAAGCCTCACCACAATGAAAACTGTGATTCTTTAACCCTCAAAACACAGAGAAAATAACTTTTTAAAAATAACATCTTTAAAATACAGAAGGAGCAACTCGGATCACATGCCTTCCTTCAGAGATTGTATTTCTCAGGCTTCTTGACCAAGAGGTTTCTCAGGAGAGAGGAAACTTCTTATGATCTCTGTAATTCTTTGGCTACACTGACTGCATCAAACCAACTCACTTAAAGCTCTGTCACAGAAGAAATTTTCAAAACAGAGGGCTGGAGCTACCAAGGCTTCAGAAGGACCCTGGAGCACTACTAGCAGGGGAAGAAACAAGAGTGTTGAAATGGTCGGTCTTATTTCCACAATAGCTCAACATGCCAGTGGAGCACGACTGTATCATCAATAACACCAGAAACAAGAGCAAAGGGGAAAATGTATAGCTCTGAGCCCATGCTAATAGCCAGTCATTTCTTTGTCAGTCACTTTTGAAAAAATACATATCAAAGCAATGAAAGGGTTACTTAAAGCGTGTAAACCCAAGAACAACCCCTCTCAATAGCAACAGCTGAGAAAAACACCCTTACCTTAACCACTGCCCTAAGCTCCCCAAGAGTTTCATTTGTATCCTCCTGTGCAAGCTCAGGGTCTTGGTCTGCTGTTCTTGGTACACTGACTTCATCCCAAAGTGTCTGCACATCATCCTGTGCCTCTTCCTTAGCAGAGAGGTGCCACTGCTAAGGAGATGGACAAAGAGAGAAAAGGCACAGCTAGTGTGGGTAGAAGGAAGCAGGGTGGACTGGAGCAAATTACAGAGCAATCTGATGATACCACTCCAAGATTAACCAAGATAGAAATGCAAAGGAGCTTTTCTATTCTGCTCAGAAGTTTTAACATTTCTATCTGGAGAAGCCTGGGCTACTTGGAAAGGACAGAAAGAACATGGAAGGATGGAAAATAATGTGAACAAGAAACTGACTGTCACTTTAACTTCTCTCCTCCACAGTAAAACTTACCACTTGGAAAGTACAGTTTTATTCAAGTAGTGTTTTCTGGTTATTATTTGCTGCCTTCTGGGAAATTTTATCATGGAGAAGTGTTCTAATGTAGCAGAGCTGATACCACAAACACAGTGTCCAGCCATTTTGCGCTTAAGGGCCAGCAAAGTTAGGAGGTGTTGTTAATCCTGACGAGGCAAATCTAAGATTGGGCAGTGAAAAGGGAGTTCTCCACTGCTTAAGAGGAGTTACCAGAAAATGCCAGCTGAGCAGTAACAAGTGTCATATTAGACATGTTTCATTCTAGTTCAAAACATTTTGAGTAATTTTATAATTGACATTGACGATCATGTTAGTGATGCACAAAAGAAGTGTCATGGCTTAGCCACAATTATTTTGGGCAACTGAAAAAAACAACAGAGAAGAAAATGTTTAAAGTCTTACACAAAGAGAGATCCAGAGGATTGCACTCTCTTGAAAAGGATTTTAAGACCCTTCACATCAGATAGAAGAAAATCTGAATGCATTTACATTCCTCTAGTCTCCGAATTGCCAGCTATATCTGACCTCTACACACATGGATCTTGCTACAGTTAACCAGATTTTTCCATAAAAATCACAATAAACTCGGATCTGTGGAGTCTCAGTTAACTTCTGCCAAATACATAATGATGCTGTTTTGGGACCTCCAGTTCAGATGATTTATTGACAGTGCAAGGCCATTGATATCCAAAAATATACAGCTTTATATATAGAGTTTCTCTAGCACACAAATACAGTTGGCTAAAACAAAACCTACATAAAATGACTGCTTTACAAAAACTAAATTTACTAAAATTGCACTTGCTTTTAAGAGGAAACAACTCTAGAAAGAACTGCATGGGACTAAACCAATACATGTCTAATCAACCCCTGGAACTGATTTCATTGAATGATGGCTACGCCACAGTGAAATTCCCACCTGGTCACACAGTCCATCCCTGTCCAGCTTTGAGCTTGCTTTTTCACCATCTGCATCTTGAGATGCTTGCTGCAAGCAAAGGTCTGGCTCCACCAGTTCAGCATTCTCTTGCTTTCTGCTGGGCTGAACGTACAAGGCCGAAGGATTCAGCTCCTTGAATCCCTAGGAACAAAAAAAACCCCACCAAACGACAAACCCCAGTGTAGTCAAGAAAACCATGTTGTAAATACCACAAATAATAAAAAGGATTCAGCAAATTTCGAAAAGGTTTTATGAAGCACACCACCCACAAGTTAGCTCCAAATTATTGCAGAATTTGCAGTAAGAAAACTTACCAAAACTGGACATACACATACAAAAATACAATCCTAGGATCTAATCCTGCCAAAACATGCATTCTGCATCTGTTGAATAAAACAGAGAGAAGCACTCCAGGCTGCAAAGCCTGACTTTCTGCTGAGATACAAAATCATGGCAGTACCTTTCTAAGGGCTTTCATACCCACACAGCTCTTACTGAAACTGAGCTGAGACATTCAGATAATGACACGTATGGGACTACATCATAAATGTTCTCTGCACTGGCTTACAACTTGAACGTCTGTCCAAGGCATAACGTGCAATCCACCGTGGTTACGCTGTCCAGCATTGTACATTTCACTGGCAAAGTAAGAGACTTTTTAAACCAACCATTTCCATAATTCAGTTTGTTAATGGCATAACTAATCTTCAATGCCTAGAGCAGAGAAGGCCACAATAATTTATTTAACTATCTTGTTCCTCACTCAACTGCCCCTGCCACCATGTAGACAATAAAATCTTATCAACTTGTCCTCATTAATTGTTTGGATGAATCAGGGGCCTCAACTTAGAGCTGCAAGAAAATTTCAGCAACAAAAATTGATGGAATTAACAAGAAGTAGTGAAACTAACAAATCTCTTAACAACCTCTCAATTCCATCTCAGTTTGGCCTTATGCTCAGAACACCTATAGCTATTTTACTTTTCCATGTTATTTATACAAGATGTGTGTTAGCTCCAGACCAATCTGCAATACTAACAAGCTAATCAACTTGGGAAAAAAATAAAAACCATCTAATCCACTGTTAGAAGACAGGACAAAAATAATTTGTTCTACTAAATCAGGATACCTCTGCTCTATCATCAGATTCCACCTTAACCAAAAAAGCAAGTTCTCACCACAGAGTTAGACACTGTGGATGCAGTCACAAAATAGTAAGTTACAGGAAAGCAGGGAATGCCAGTTTTGCTCTACACAAAACTACTTGCTTCAAGCTAAAGACCTTCCCATTTTATGCATCCAATCAAGCCTTTCCCTGCCCTTCCCCTTAGCAGTACGTGCCTCCCTCCTGACCTGGGAAGGAATGTTCTCTCCACAGACGTCAGCACATCCCTCATCCCTCAAGACACAGTGGAAGTAGACATCCTCCTTGGTGGATGTGTCACACAGGAAGAGATGCAAAATGCCATTCACATACTCATCCACGATGCCCACAAGTAGCTTGGAGTCACACAGCTGCTTGAATAGGAGAGTTGCTGCATTGGACCACACACCCTAAAGAAGAAACAAGGATGTAAAGTTACTGTAAACAGATCAACATCCACTGCCTGAGACTCTCCCTTGTGGGCACTTGCTAAAAAAGCAATTAAGCTAGGTCAGGGTAGGCACAAATACAGGCAAGCCAGGCAGACAAGCCTTCCAGCACTGAACTAAATCAAACTACCCCAAAGCCTGCAATGCCAGTTACACTGGGACTGCCCTTTCACCCTAAATACCCATTTCCAAACACAGTTCAATGGCATTCACCAGTGATTTTATCACAATTGCCTAAAATGCAGTTTTATTGTTGGTTTTGTTTTCTTTTTTTTTTTTTTTAATTCCTGGAATCATGCTATTATCAATGTTGAAAGTGTCAAAAGTTTTTAAGAAGCGTCTAAGCCTCACCACAATGAAAACTGTGATTCTTTAACCCTCAAAACACAGAGGAAATGACTTTTTAAAAATAATGTCTTTAAAATACAGAAGGAGCAACTCTGATCACATGCCTTCCTTCAGAGATTGTATTTCTCAGGCTTCTTGACCAAGAGGTTTCTCAGGAGAGAGGAAACTTCTTATGATCTCTGTAATTCTTTGGCTACACTGACTGCATCAAACCAACTCACTTAAAGCTCTGTTTCATACCCACACAACTCTTACTGAAACTGAGCTGAGACATTCAGATAATGACACGTATGGGACTACATCATAAATGTTCTCTGCACTGGCTTACAACTTGAACTTCTGTCCAAGGCATAACGTGCAATCCACCGTGGTTACGCTGTCCAGCATTGTACACTTCACTGGCAAAGTAAGAGACTTTTTAAACCAACCATTTCCATAATTCAGTTTGTTAATGGCATAACTAATCTTCAATGCCTAGAGCAGAGAAGGCCACAATAATTTATTTAACTATCTTGTTCCTCACTCAACTGCCCCTGCCACCATGTAGCACTCTAAGTCAGACAATAAAATCTTATCAACTTGTCCTCATTAATTGTTTGGATGAATCAGGGGCCTCAACTTAGAGCTGCAAGAAAATTTCAGCAACAAAAATTGATGGAATTAACAAGAAGTAGTGAAACTAACAAATCTCTTAACAACCTCTCAATTCCATCTCAGTTTGGCCTTATGCTCAGAACACCTATAGCTATTTTACTTTTCCATGTTATTTATACAAGATGTGTGTTAGCTCCAGACCAATCTGCAATACTAACAAGCTAATCAACTTGGGAAAAAAATAAAAACCATCTAATCCACTGTTAGAAGACAGGACAAAAATAATTTGTTCTACTAAATCAGGATACCTCTGCTCTATCATCAGATTCCACCTTAACCAAAAAAGCAAGTTCTCACCACAGAGTTAGACACTGTGGATGCAGTCACAAAATGGTAAGTTACAGGAAAGCAGGGAATGCCAGTTTTGCTCTACACAAAACTACTTGCTTCAAGCTAAAGACCTTCCCATTTTATGCATCCAATCAAGCCTTTCCCTGCCCTTCCCCTTAGCAGTACGTGCCTCCCTCCTGACCTGGGAAGGAATGTTCTCTCCACAGACGTCAGCACATCCCTCATCCCTCAAGACACAGTGGAAGTAGACATCCTCCTTGGTGGATGTGTCACACAGGAAGAGATGCAAAATGCCATTCACATACTCATCCACGATGCCCACAAGTAGCTTGGAGTCACACAGCTGCTTGAATAGGAGAGTTGCTGCATTGGACCACACACCCTAAAGAAGAAACAAGGATGTAAAGTTACTGTAAACAGATCAACATCCACTGCCTGAGACTCTCCCTTGTGGGCACTTGCTAAAAAAGCAATTAAGCTAGGTCAGGGTAGGCACAAATACAGGCAAGCCAGGCAGACAAGCCTTCCAGCACTGAACTAAATCAAACTACCCCAAAGCCTGCAATGCCAGTTACACTGGGACTGCCCTTTCACCCTAAATACCCATTTCCAAACACAGTTCAATGGCATTCACCAGTGATTTTATCACAATTGCCTAAAATGCAGTTTTATTGTTGGTTTTGTTTTCTTTTTTTTTTTTTTTAATTCCTGGAATCATGCTATTATCAATGTTGAAAGTGTCAAAAGTTTTTAAGAAGCGTCTAAGCCTCACCACAATGAAAACTGTGATTCTTTAACCCTCAAAACACAGAGGAAATGACTTTTTAAAAATAATGTCTTTAAAATACAGAAGGAGCAACTCTGATCACATGCCTTCCTTCAGAGATTGTATTTCTCAGGCTTCTTGACCAAGAGGTTTCTCAGGAGAGAGGAAACTTCTTATGATCTCTGTAATTCTTTGGCTACACTGACTGCATCAAACCAACTCACTTAAAGCTCTGTCACAGAAGAAATTTTCAAAACAGAGGGCTGGAGCTACCAAGGCTTCAGAAGGACCCTGGAGCACTACTAGCAGGGGAAGAAACAAGGTTGTTCATTTGCTTAACAATAGCTATCTGTTTCTCCAACACTATAAGCAAGAATACTCTGACTGTAAGGAAAACAGACAGCAGAAGGGTCATCAGTTGCAGATGCAGAAACTTACGCAGTCATCTCTGCTGACCATAACAGCAGCAATTCTGCTGAAAACATCAATGAATTAATCCAAATGTTTGCCCTTATCAGGAGAGAAAGCCAACCTCTACTTGCTAGCTCTTATACATATCTCAATAAACAAAACTACATGTGAGCACAGACCTCCACAGGTTTTACCCATGCCAAGGAACACGGGATGGCCTGAGCAGGGAGCTTCAAGTAGCACCACCTACAATACAAAACAAAGCCATCACCATTACAGCAAAACCAGAGCAAAACCAGGCAGAAAAGCAGAAGAAACTCCTTTTCTGGGTTTTAGAATCAGCTTAGGAAGAGAGAGGCACGTATTGGATTTTGCACTTGTGACCAAAACCTAAAGGCAGCTTTGGAAAACACCCTATAACCAGAGAATGGGCACAACAGAAATAGCAATATCAACTGGTCCCCTGTGCCTTCCCTTGCCTAAGCATCTTCCCACCATAACCCCTTATGGTTACAAAGGACAGAGAGCCAGGACTTTTGAACCTAAGAATGCAAATGGCAAGGCATGAGTACACACAAATGAGAGGGAAGAAGCAGATATGGAAAAGGTATAGAACTGCAGAGAAGGATTAACTCTGAGACTGAAAACACATCCCACTCGGACTAACATCAAACTGGACCCACTTGGACTTCATTCAAGGAGATGTTTACACCCATTCACAGAACCCAGGAAGGAGCATTAGGGAGCTTGCCCCAAAGTGACAGAAAGTAGCAAGAGGAAAGACTGAGGAATGAAGGCAGAAACAGGAAAGGATTTAGCCCAAAGTCACTGTGAGGGAGTGATGGACAGGGCTGATGAGCAAAGGGCCTGGAGCAATCTGCAAAACAGGTCTGAAAACAACATCACCTCCAGCATTATCATGTAAGCAGGGAAGTGCCTGCAAGGCATCGTTATGGAATAAAACCCCAGATCCATGCTGGGATGTCTTTCTGAAGGTGACTGGGAGTAGTCAGCATGGATTCACCAAGTCATGCTTGATCAACTTGACAATCTTCTACAATGAAATGACTGGCCTGGAAGGTGAGGGCAGAGCAGTGGGTATTGTTTACTCTTACTTCCATCAAGCTTTTGACACTGTGTCCTGCAAGATCCTCAAAGAAGCTAAAGAGGTGCAGGCTGGATAAGCAGAGTGAGGTAGGTTGAGAACTGGCTGAAGGGCCAGGCCCAGAGAGTGGTGCTCAATGGTACAAAGTCTTGTTAGAGGCCAGGAATTAGTGGTGCACACCAGGGGTCAATAATAGATACAACACTGTTCAACAACTTCACTAACAATCTGGATGATGGGGCAGAGTCTACTTTCAGCAAATCTGCTGATAATACAAAACTGGGAGGAGTGGCTGATACACCAGAGGGTCATGCTGCCATTCAGAGGGACCTGGAAAGTACAGAGAAATGGGAAATGAAGTTCAACGAAGTCCTGCACCTGGGGAGAAACACCACCATGCATCAGCACATGTTGGGAGCTGACTGGCTGGAATGCAGCATTTTTACCAAAAAGGTGACCAAGCTCTGGAATAGGTTGCCAAGAAATGTTGTGGAGTCTCCATCCCAGGAGACATTCAAAAACTATCTCAACATGGTCCTGTGCAGCCTGCTCTAGATGGCCCTGGCTCGAGCAGGGAGGTTGGACAGGATGACCTCCAGTGGTCTCTTCCAACCTCAACCATCCTGTGACTCTGTCACCCGTGTGTAATTTACTTACTTGAGGAATCTCAGACAAGACTTTTGGACAATTTTGAGGTTTCCATAATCTGGGTAGAACACCTCTACTTCCTGGTCATTGATGACACGGTGGACGATAGCACGGTACCACCATTTAGAGACGGTTACGCAGCAAAGCTGTCCAGGCCGTACTGAAGACTCAGGCATGACATAACGATCAGAAACAAGTTTATTGGAGTAACAGTGTCTGCAAAAGATCATAACAAAAAACTGCGCTTGGTAGGATGCAGGAGATGAACAAAGAGAAATACACAGGGTTTCAGAAGAACCCTCATTTCTCAAAGTCCTCATGATATGAATTTTCAGGAGTAGTTTTAACAGATGCTTTACATCTCTGTTCTGCTATACTTAAACTGAAATGACAATAAAAAATGCAAACCCAAACTTTTAACACTTGAATTATAGTCTTGGGATCCAACAAAAAGCTAATTAATGGGGATTAATCAGAGGCTAAATGCAGTCATTCTAGTAATTAATTTTTAACATTACCTTGACATGTCAGTGCTTCTTACGAACCAGGTTCTGGGGTGCTGGCTCATATACACAGTATCTGTCTGCAGAGTCTGTAATCACACTTTACATGTGCCCCACAGACACCAAGCTTTTACTTTGGCATACAATTAACAGCAGGCATAGTACTGTCATGGCGGAATAGAATCCCAAGTGCATAATGTAACTGACACAAACAAAGCCACTGATAGGGTTTTGCTTGCAAATATAGATATGAAAAAGTCCTATTACCTGTTGCTTTTTGCTAAGTGTTGGAGATTGAAGTAAAAGCTTTAACCGAGCACTTTAAGAAAAGCAGCACAGACAACAGAGAGGTGCGCAGGGACCCCAAAGTTCCTTTCCATAACCTTTTTAACCTTTTCAAGTTTAGGTCTGTCTAGGACACAGCCAAAAAAACCATGAATTACTATTCACACTTTTTGCTTGCTAGTTAAAAGGAGTGTGTAAGCATTCCAAGTACGTGTTTCAGTACGGCACCAGCACCTCTGTATCAAGTAATCAAGCCAGCAGAGACCATAACTAACAGCTGGGTGCCCTGTTCCCTCAGCACAAACACACACACAACAGATATGAATCTGTACTGAATCAGCACAGCACGTACACACCTCATCTCAAACATCATATCCTGCAGTTTATCCGACGTTTCACTGCTGCAGATGTGGATGTAGAACTGGCTTGGAGAGACAACAAATTCCACAAAGACTCCCACCAAGCATCTCTTCTCCAGTGGTGGTAAACTGCAAAGGCTTCTGTCTTGAACAGCATCTGGGGGGATTTCTGGAGTCATTATCAACTTGGCTAGTAGAGACTGCTCCAAATCTTGAGGCTACAAAGGAATATAAAGAAGGTAGCACTCAGATGTCTTGTCATCCACTGAACACACATCCAGCATTTCCATTATGGTAAAAAATAGTTTATTTTTTTCCTGGCAACCTGTGAATCACTGAGTATCAGAGAATCTCAACAAATTTTGCAAACTTGGATTAAAGTTTTCCCTGTGATAGCAGCATTCATTTTCACACTCTCTCTTTTCCTTCCTTTCTTTCCCCCAGTGTAAAGAGGGCTGCAACAAAAACACTTTGCTCATATTCCTGCAAGGAATAAAGGAGAGGAACTGAAGTCACGTCACTTATTTAGACAAAGTATTGAATGGCTGTTGCTAAAAAAGGAGAACAAAACAAAAACCCACACCAAACACAGCCTACCTGTGTGTTGGATTTTACCCAAAAGATGCTATTTCTGTGTTCCATGAGAGAATACATGATTGAACCAGCAAAACTCTCTCTGAAAGTGATTCAAAAGTGACAGAAGGTACAAATGCTTATCACTTTCACACTATAGTCATTTCCCAAGGATAAAACCAAACAAACCCTACAAAGTCTGTTCTTTTCTCACTCTAGACAAATTTGTACATGAGTTGTTAGCATAGCTTACAATTTTGCATCGTTCTTTAACGGCTGAAAACATTACTTCACTTAACTAGTGTGGATTGGAACCTTAATCATACATCAGCTGCTCTCCCTGCCTCATGAGCTTCCTTTTGTGCCAACGAACAGCGCTCCTCCAATGATCAGAAATCAAAATTATTTCAATTTTACTCATCATGAATATGCTACAAGTTACCACTACATTATGCATCAGTCAATGTCTGGGAAATCTGTCTTCCAGCACCCCCCCACCACTGCATATCTGTCTAAATCCAACTGCAAACAATGTGTTTTTGCAATACTGGCTCTTTTAACCATTGTTTAAAGACGCAGATGGAAGTCCCTCCTTCTGCAGACTAAGAGCTAATGTCCTTTTTAGATAAAAAATTTTGACTAAAACATTGATTCAAATAGTGAGTTAACATTTCTGAGTTAAAGAGCAACTGAAGGAATTCTTGCCTGAGCAGAAGCATCACCTCTAAAAAACCCTTACATTTCAGGATTTCCTCTAAAAAGTGTTTGGGAATAATGGCATTTCTAGGGAACAGTTTTCCTCCCAGAATATCCAGCTCTTATGTGCACACATGATCTTTATAATCCAGCTCATACATTGGTAGGGACAAGAGTCATTTCCATGGAAGATGTAGATGTGTCTTAAAAACAGGTTTACAAAAAAGCAACAACATTATAAAAAGATAAACCAACAGAACACACCGTTAAACTTGGCTTACAAGACGTATATGCAAAGTAACATATTCCAACCTGCTTCCCTCCCCATGAGGGATTTTTAAAAACAGAACAGCAAACTTGGTGTTTCATGAGGAATATTAGCTGTACAAACACCTTCCAAGACTTATCCTGCTAGGATCTTTAAACAGGTTCCCTTTGCAACACATAGGAATAAAAACCTGACTTGAGGTTGGTGTTATAAGGACCACATCCTCCCCAAAAGCAGACTTTGTTTGATCTAGGGGAATTCCCTGTGAAGTTCATCATATCAAACTAAAATTTCTTTAAAGGATCAGAACAGCCTGGCAAAAAAATTTCTAAAGGGTATGTTTTATGAAGAGCTTGCCAAAATCCAACTCGCAGTCCCAGGCTTCCATTCATACACAAAGCACCGAAGTCAGGAAGAACTCCTGGGACCTATGCACTCCAACTGTACAGTTGCCCAGACACACAAGGTGAGCTTGCAGAAGAAATAACTCAGTAGGAGGATTTTCCTGAGAAAAAGGTGGCCTAAAGATGCTCAAAACAAAAAAAAAAGGAGGGGACACAAACAACTTCTCCCAATTGGGTATGGCAGTTCAGGTCCATCTCTTTCTAAAAACCCACTGCTAAACAAAACAAAAACCCCAAACAAATGAACAAAACCTCAACATTTTCAAAGTCCAACCAAATAGCAGAGTTGAGACTGCAGGAACCAAGGTCTCAGAGGACCCTTCCCCAGCTCTGTCATGTAGCTGCTTGACACTTAAACCCTGCCTACTGCAGCAGGGGGAATTCCACACAGCTAGTCTCAGAACAAAGTTATTAAAGTCCAGTTACAAATAAATACATCAAAAGGTATCACCACTATTATCAGGGAGCAAAATGATGCTTAACAGACCTCGCATGATCTGTAACATACATCTCAAGACCAGAAAGAGTCAAGAAAAAGACCTGGTCTGCATGGTATAAAGCTATATACCAGGTCACTATGAGTGGTAACCCCCAGACTCATCTAAAACAAGTGCAAACATTTTTGGAAGCAGCTGTGCATCAGCAATACAAACTCAATAGAAAGAAAAGCAGCAAGAAGAGTACTGCCCCCCAGATTAGGACATGATAGAGCTACAGATTGCTCATCTAGCCACTTACTTGTTTGAGGCCACCACCCAAATATACTGCCTGTGTTTCCACTGGTGTTTCCACTGGCTCTGACTTCTCTTCTGCTCTCAGTTGGAAGCTGTCTGTCTCACAGCTAGGCTCCAAAGGAGGCATCTCAACTGCAGGTGCTGCTGCAAAGACAACAATTTGGCTGTTTTTCTTTGTGGGACTGCTGCAGTGTTACACATTAAGCAGAAAGAGAAGACATCTGAAAACGAGAAGTACTCGTGCCGTTTTCCTCATCTCTTGTAGCATTCACAGCCACTACAGTCATCAGGATTCACTTGAGAGCCATCCTTCACTATATTAATACATTAAAACAAAACATAACAAAAAGCACTTGTTCTTGTAAGCATGCTAAGGGTTAAATCAACTGCTAGAATGATGCTAAAACGAATTTTCCCCAGAAAAGTCAGGAATTTGGCAGGAACTGTATGCGATTTTCTGCCTTCTCTCACAGCTGTTACAGGAATGCTGAGGGTATCTGCAGTCTCTTCTGTTTTCTTTTGTGGAACATTGTACCTGTGCCTTTCAGACTAGTGCTAAACCTTCAGTCTCAAAATCCTCATTGACAAGGCTTTACCAGCCTGCAGTGCACACATTCAGATCCTTCTAGTTTTGTTATCTATTGCCTGGAATGACTAGAAATTCCAGTCCTACACAGGCATTCACAAAGTCCATTCTCTGAAGGGGCTAAACATCCCTTCTTTCATCTCACACCAAAAAACAGTGGCAACCTGTAGAAAACTTCCAGTTAAGCTCTTTGCTACCAAGGCAACTCCCTTGTGACAGCTGATTCTGCAGCACCCCACAGCCCTTCTGTGCTAAAACCTAGGGGAACTGGGACTACTACAGCAACTGGAAATCACAGAATCACAGAATGATATGGGCTTGGAAGGGACCTCTGGAGATCATCTGGTCCAAGCCCCCTGCCAAAGCAGGTCCACCTAGAGCAAGATGCATAGGAACGTGTCCAGGCAGGTTTTGAATGTCTCCAGAGATGGGGATTCCACCACCTCTCTGAGCAGCCTGATCCAGTGCTTTGCCACCCTCAAAGTAAAGAAGTTCCTCCTCATGTTTAGATGGAACTTCTAATGTTCAGGTTTGCGCCCATTACCTCTTGCCCTGTTACTGGGCACCACTGAAAAAAGACTGGCCCCATGCTCTTGACACCCACCCTTTAAGTTCTTATAGGCATTGATCAGATTCCTCCTCAGTTTTCTCTTCTCCAGACTAAAAAGAGCCAAGTCCCCCAGCTTTTCCTTGTAAGAGAGATGTTCTAGGTCCCTAGAATGCAGCAACATCCACTTGAAACACAGTTGTTCAGCCACAGTGCTTGCAAGAGCTACATGCTTTCAGTTAAATAACACACCACCTCACCTTGTGGCACCTCCTCCTGCACCTCACCTTGCGGCACCTCTTCCTTCTCTATCGCACTTGCCAGGTGCTTCTTCAGGCTCAGCAAGGAACCTGCTCTTGTCTGCTCAACCTCAATGATATCAGACACACTCCTGAGGACTTCACACATGGAAACAAATCCATATTGCGTGTACTGGAATGCCCGGCCAAAACGTTTGTAGAAGGCCTTGTCAAAGTCCAAGAGCAGAAGCGGTGAGGAACTCAGCAAATCCTGCAGCTCAGCCTTCACCGTTGCTGGCAGGACAGGAGCCCTGCCCCTCTGAGGGAAACTCTGGGAATTCTTAGAGGGAGAAGCAACATCTGCCTTTCCAGGAGCACTCCTTTTTGCCTTAGCACTTCTCTTCTGTCTGGCAACCAGTTTGGCAATGGCCTTGGTGGTCTCATCTGCAATGGCTACAGCAGAAAGAAATAAACTATTAGACTACTAAAACAGCAGACCATTAAAAGCTCTACACAGGCAAAGCTCCAAAGAAAAGAAAGAAGACTTTCCTTTCTTTCCTTTTCTCCCAATCCTTTTCAGAAGCTGATGTCGCCTTCAAAAGCAATCACACTAAATCATGGTCAATTTCCAGCAGGGCAATCCATTTCCCTCTCATTTTGTAAACTTGGACTGAACCATTTTTAACAGCCAACAACCAATACGCACCCCCCTCATCCCTGTAAATCCAAATCTAAGTAGGAAGGTGGGTCAAATTCTTGGATGCAGGATCACAACAGGAAAGCCAGCTGCTGCGAGTTTTGTTAGGAAAACAGTAAATGGCTCATTGCTCTCTCAGCCAGAATCACAGTAAACCCCTGCTATAGAGCGCCCACCCGCCCAGGTAAGGTCTCACTGGGGAGCAGCCCAGGTATTTTCCATGCTTTTAGACAACTTTTGCTTATCTTACTGTAGCATTCTAAAAAAACACACCAAAAAACATCATTTCACTCTTCCCAGTCAACTCTTTGCACCTACCATTTGTTTCCACAGCTCTTCCCCAAAGAAAAAGAAAAGGAAAAAGGTTCTTTGAGACATACTGAAATTCCTATGGGGTCGGGTAAGGAGACATTTATAGTTTCTCCCAAGAGGGCTCATCCCAGGTTTTGGCTCCTGCTGTAGTCTGCATTTACAGTAAAAGCGATGCTTACCAGTTCTAGCATACTCATAATAAATGTTACTGCAGTTTCTAAACTTCAGTGCAGAATGCAAAATGTACAAAAATAACTAGAAGCCTCAGTGATTTTTCAGGAGGAAAGAGCGGAAAAGCACTGAAAGGCAGATCAAAATACAGGAAGAAACATCACAGACAAGAAATTAAACAGAGCTATATGAGAAAATTAGTAGCAGAGATATGTGACCTACAGCTACAGGAATTCAACCTGCACATCCCCATTTTGGAGCATCACTTCATGTGGTTGCAAACAACTCCTTCACCCATAAGGAAAAAAAAAAAATCCTCACCTTTGAGGATTAAAGTCCCATTCTCACAAGAACAGACTCTGACAACACCAGGCATATCCGCCACCAGCTCCAAGGTGGATTGGAAGCCCAGGTCATACAGAGGAAGAGGTTTGCCTATCGTGGCCATGTACTCCTCCTCCAGCTGTGCTGGGGTTAAGCCCTCTTTTGAAGCCATTAGCAGCGATCTCACCTCCTTCTTCAGCACTTCCATAAGCTGTGCTTGCTTCGACATGTCTGCGCTAAAGGGGCAACAAAAGCAAGAAGAAAACAACTCCTACCACAGCTGCTCAAACACAGGCAAAAGGCTTTTCACAGCTCAGCGCAGCTACAAGCTGGTGGGGGATAGAGGGCATGAAGCCAGGTTTGCCACCAGCCATTACCTACCAACCCCTGTACTCCCCTGCCTGCACCCCTGGTGCTTCCACCCTTTGGTACCCACTATCCCTGCTAAAATCACAGCTCCTGCATTCCCCTCCTCTCTCCATGGGATGACAGCCCCTTGAAAGCATTGCATCTCCCCGAAATTTTGTACACCCCTCCATCAGGGACTGCCTTGCACCCCTAAAATGCTGTCTGAGGAGCACACACACACTCTCCATGGGCTCACCACCCCTCGCAGCCATCCCTAATGCCCCTAAACCCAGCCCTGCGGATTCCCCCCTCTGCTCCATGGAGCCACTGCCCCCCAAAGACATTCCCGTACCCCTAAACCACAGCCTGCAGACCCCCCCACAGACACCCCAGAGGGTCGTTACCCTCTAAAGAGATTCCCATACCTCAAACCCACAGCCTGGGGGACAACCACCCCCCTCCAAAAAACGACCCTAGAGACTCCTAGCCCCCTAAAAAAAGATTTCCATGCCCATAAACCACAACCCGCACCCACCGCGCCATCCTACCGCCTCCCTCACGAAACTGCCCCCCCCCCGGCCTCTGTGCCTGCGCGCTCCTTTTCCCGCCCTTCCGGGGCGCGAGGGCGGTGCCTCCCTCCATTGCAGCGGGGCCTTGAGGGGCCGCCCGCGGCCGGGCCGTAGGGTGGCAGCGTGTCCTGTGGAGACTGACCCCCAAGGAGCTGCAGCCCACGGATAAAAAAAGGTTAGGTGCGTCCCCTTTCTGACAGGAAAACTTGTCACCTGGAGGCCGCCTTACCTCCCGTGCCACCCTGGCCAAGTGAATTAAAAAAAAAAAAAGGGGGGCTTCTGGAGCGCTTCCCAAGCCAACACTCAAGCACTGTGTGAATTGTATTAATTAACACACCATTTCTGCCTGGCTTTTCTCCTCTTGTGGTTAGGCCTCTCCCTCCATCGCTTCTCTGGTAGCCCTTGCTGACGAGGCACGACAGGGCAGAGAAAGCAGGGAGGTGGTGCTCCTGCCCGCCCTGACTGCAATATCCTGGCTCCCTGCGGGGTCACAAGTCTCTTAATAAGAAAGGAATTTGTGAAAAAAAATTAAGAGCAGAAACTCCCCAGTTGGGAGCTTCCCGGCTGCCTCCAGCTGATCCTCATCACCAGAGACTGGGCATCCCCAAGCTCACCGCTGCCCCACAGACAGGGCCTTGTTCCAGGCTTGTCTTTCTGTAGTTTGATTTCTAGCCAGGTACTGGTTTCTTTCATGCACTCAGTGACTTTAAAACACTTTAAAATGGAGTTTCTTGCTGAGGCTTCTGCAGGTGTCACCACAAGCTGCATGGCATGAAAAGAAAAAAGCTCCTATGTTTGCTCTGCCACGATCCTGCTGTGGAAAACTAGGGAGATATTTAGGCACAAACTCTTGGCAATTTAGATTCAGTAGCTTTAACCGTGCAATGGCCTCCATGCTTTGCACCCATTCAGGAAACTTCATGGCTGACCTGGGACTCGCTAATTTCGCTCCCTGCTAAAATTTGAGGTGACCCTAGAGAGGGAGTTTGCTACCAGTGTCCCTCCACTGTGCCAGCCAAAGGGTCTCTAGAGAGCAGACCAGTGTGAGATGCTGCTCACCCAGCCGTTCTCTGCAACACCCCCTCAAAGTACTCCTGAGTAAGCCACTGGTCTCATGGTGAATGAAGGTTTTTCACTGTGTTGTTTATTGTTCTGGGCCACCCTCACCATCTGAGGTCTTTGGAGCCACACATCTGACAAGCCTAAAAGTTCAGGTTGCTTTTCAACAGCTTTGCAGGAACCATCTACTGAAAGTTATCTGAGTGGTTCTGATTGTATTTTATTTCCAAAGGCAGGAAGGTGTAAGCAGAATGTCCTCCTGGAGTCTACCCTGTCCAGGTCTAACCTTCCTTCCCATCTCCGCAGCAGTGCGTGATGAGAGCAGAGCAGCTGGAAAACAGCTTGCTCACTTCATTGTCCATTATGCCTGACAAGCCTGTGATAAACTTGAAACAAGCTTCCTGGATGTGACACCTCCCTTCTCTCCTCCCCTCCCTGGTTTTCCTGCCTGCAGCAATAAATTCAAGCACGAATTCATCCTTCTCCCACAGGCAGTTGCATGCTCCTTGGCACAGATGAGGATGGATAAGAGGTCTCGGAGCTCTTCCAGGGAGTCTCACAGGAGACGCAGAGAATCCCCAGCTGCACAGAGCAAACAGGAGAAGAGGGAGAGCAGCAGAGAAGGTGGCAAAGGAAGGGGAGACATAAAGCAGGAGAAGGCCAAGGAGATCAAGAGCACCGCAGGGACCGATGGTAGGGTGCACACATCCACGGTGGTGGATGTGGATGATGTGATATCTGATGAAGAAATGGAGGCAATGGCCTTGCTGGACAGCGAGCAGCAAGAGGAAGGTATGGCTTACTGAAGGGAAGGGGCGGGAAAGCTATGGGCTTTTTGACTTTGTGTGGGACACAGTATGACTGCTCTCTGCACAGTGAGTGTCAGCACAGACATATACTTATCCTGAGGACGGGATATGGGAGACTCCAGCCAGCCCTCAGCCATTTTCCCCAGTCAGTCCATGCAGATCAGCACTGTCTAGCAAAGCAATGAACTTTGAAACAAGCAGTTACATCCCCAGCATCCTTCATGCTTCAGCTTACTGCTCCCCAGTTCTGTTCATGTTCTGTTGTCTTCCTTTTCTTGATTATCCTTCTTGGTAGATGGAGTTAGCCTTAATGCCAGTTCGCAGCCCAAAGAACTGCAGTGCAGGGAAGAACTGCACTTGAGGTGCACGCTTGTAGCTCCTCTTCTGGATAACCCTCCAGAGCAGCTCCCCTCCAGGCCATGGGTTAGGCAGATTCCCAGCCTGCCATGATAGGAGGGAACGTTGTGAGTCTTCAGGAATAAAGGAATAAAAATGGGAAGAATGCAGGGATGCTAACTTCACTGCTGGAAAACCTCTGGGTCTAGGTACACCCAGTAGTAATCTATCTAGTTTCATGCCATATGTGCAGATTTTCCCTCAGGCAAGAACACAACCAAGGACAGCCAGATCAAGATGACCCACACTCACTTTGGGGAGATGTAGAAGGTAGTATTCATATGGGACTGACCACTCCAGTCAGCCTCCAGCACCTTGGTGTGACTGTTGCAGAGCACAGGGAGATTTCAGCGGCACCAGTAGCTTGGTCCTGCTGCATTAGGAAGCTGGGATGCAACTAAAATCCTATTCCAAAGGCTCCTGAGATACTCTGATAGGGAAGGGCACTTCAGGCTGTGCATGTTGAAAGCTATCTCTTATTTACAATCTTTGCCATTAGTTTATCTTTGCAAATAAGCTTCTGGGATCCCAGCTTAGTCAACAAGTTGCCCATTCCAAGCCTTTCAACACTGCTTGGTAGCCACAGGTCTCCAAGCTAATGGCTGCTCTCTAGTCGAGGCACATTTTCTGCCTGTAGAGCAGAGACAGAATCTGTCAGTCCACCCTGGCAGCTCCTGGCCACCTGGGGCAGGAAGTATTCTTTAACAAAGGTCCAGAGAGAGCCAGATAGTTTACATACACCAGGTCTGGGCAAAGGACAATGCTGAAGCTCATCTGTGTAGGGACTTGTCAGGCCATCGGTATTTTCGGAGCAGTCCACTCTTAACATAGTTTTGTTGGATTTCTCCCTAGGTGTAAAGTCTCCAGGTCTGGGCATCTGTGAGTGGCTTCTGACCGTCTTGTCTATCCTGTTTGTCATAATGACCTTCCCCATTTCTGTCTGGTTCTGCATGAAGGTGAGAATAGTCTTGGGGCCTCTCTAGGTGTAACATTTGGTGTCTCATGTGGATGTAACTCAGTGATTCAGCATGTGTCACACATGAGCATAAAGCTTTTTTGGTCTAAGGCTCTACGTACACTTCTTCAACTCATCATTAATTTTTACTTATCCTTTATCATACATGCCTGCAACACAGGGCTGCACATGGATCCAGCCACTGCCTGTCAGATACTCCTGCTGCAATATCAGCAGACAAGGACTTAAGTTTCCCTTTTTAAAAATAATTTACAGGTCTGTTAACTTTCAAACATAACCTTCAGCCTGGCCAGCCCAGAGATGGCTGCATTGCAGCAGCAGGATAAATAGGTTTTGAATTAAAAATTTTAAGAGGTTGATTTTTCAGTTAATAGCAGATTTTCCCTCTTCCTCCCCTTTTCTCGGATTTCTAGCATGGCTACAAGTAGGCATATTTTGATTCCCACTTCTCAGGAAATTTCATGTTCATCTTGTTCTCAATGAGAGTCTAGGTGTTAGGGCTCAGATCTTACACACTCTCACACATGGTTCCCTTGGAGGCTAACAACCAACATGCAAAATTTTAGCTCAGGACGTTCAGGCTTGGCCAGGCTGTAAGGAAGCAGAACACTGGCCTCTTTGTGGGAAACCCTGGGCAGCTCTAACATAGGCTGCTGTCACCAAATCACAGGCTGTCCCAGGGCTGCTCCAATGCCACTCACACACAAGACCAGCCAGCAGTTCTGGGCCACGTTCTCTGAGGGGGTAAAGGGACTCAGTGACAGGTGACTCCACTAGCTCATACGTGCAGAAATCCTCCTTTTGCAGGGCTTTCCCAGAACAGATACCCTCCCATACTGGTGAGGCCCCTTTCCCCAGTCCTACACCTTCCTCTCCAACCTAGCTTTTGTTTCCTCTGCAGGTAGTACGGGAGTATGAGAGAGCCATCGTTTTCCGACTTGGGCATCTCCTTCCTGGCAGAGCCAGAGGACCTGGTAAGGTGTTTACTGAGCTCCCCCCAGCCATGTCATTCCTGTTCTTCATGCTCTACCAAAGCTCACTTGCTGGTGCCCTCCAAGCAGGCATGGCCAGA